GGAGCTCCAAAATATTTCCTTCTGACCACCTATTAGGTATTAGCTACCAAGCACAATTCAAAGTGCTGGCTTCAGCCTATAAAGCCTTAAATGGCTCCAGTCCAACTTACTTGTACAAACATATCTGCCTCTATGAACCAGTTCGTAGATTAAGATATTCCGGGGAGGTCCTCCTCTTGGCCCCACTGGCCTCACAGGTATGGCTGGTGGGGATGAGGACAGGACCTTCTCAGCCCCACAGCTGTGGAACTCCCTTCCCAGAGAGATAAGGTCGGCCCTCCTGACCTTTAGGAGACAGCTAAAGACTTGGCTGTGGAACCAAACATTCGGCTCATCATAGTGAAAATTGAAAGTGCAATGACCCAGGACTGTTTACGAACAATGGCTATGTCTTTGTGTGATTTTATGTGCTGTATTTAATAATGTTTTATGTTTTGTGAGGGGAGGGTCAATTTTGATGTTTTATACTGAATTTTATCAATGACATTGAATTGTTGCCAACACTGTGAACCACCATGAGTCCCCTTCAGGGTTGAGAAGGGCAGTATACAAATACTGCAAATAAAATAAAATAAAATAAACTGCAGTGTCCATGATATAAAATGTTCCATCCAAATTTTATGTCTTTGAATGGGGCAAGGACCTCCTAATCCAGTCCATGAAAGATATCACAGGTGTTCTTTCTAAAAACCCTACAATTTGTTTAAAATACTACTTCCTGGAACTTAAGCTAAAGAATGTCCTGTGAGAATTTCAGCTAAAGTATCCATACATGAGTCTGGCTGTTATTTCTTATGATATTGATAACAGTGCATGTTGCTGAACTGTTGGGAGGGCACACGACATATGAAAGAATCCCTCGGAGAAAATTCTTGTGCACCTCTCCCTTTGGGATTATGAATGGCATACTGAAAGTAATTCTTCTGTTATCTCAAATAAGAAGGGCTTCTGCTATGTTCACTTTCCTAATAGAAAGAACAAGTGGTGCATGAAAGAGCTCAGTCTGAGCTTGGAGGAGCTGTTCTTTCAAGCATTGGATAAGGATCTCTGTGTGCCACTCACCTCCCAATTCCCTCAGCATGTGAACCTGACTCACTGTGGGGTTGTTGATTACTGGATTTAGTCTTCTGACTATACCAGTTTCTCTCTGCACATTCTCAAATTGCCAAGCTTCTATGCTGCTTTGTATAGTGCAAATCTAAGTCTCTCAAGGCAACATAACACAAAACTGACATGGGACTTAGTGCAAGCTTTCAAATGCATCTGAAAATAGAGGAATGAGAAAGCCCATTATTTCAAAGAGGTAACACAATGGAAGGAACTCTTACATCCAAGATCAGAATGGGCAGCAGTAGACTAAAACTTGTCATCATGCTGACAAACTCAAAATACAGAGTGCAATAATAATAACCTCTAAAAGTTACAACTGAGATTAAGACATATATGAATGTCAGGTCAGTCTGTTATTGTTTGTGTTATTGATGTACATGACATCATCAATCAATAATCCTGGGTCTTACTCAAACACATGTATCATAAGCTAGCAATTGGAAGGAAAACTCACAATGGTTGCTTCAAAAGGTACTTTCTTTCTACCACACAGCATATAATCCAAAGAAGCAATGCCTAGCTTGCAGCATGCTGTTGATTTCTTTCTTGAGTTCGGCCATATACTCAACGACAAGGCGACAGTAATATTTCAGACCAAAGTACCTTGTCACAAACATCATGTTGGGTGACTGTGGTTTTTTGTTAACATTTCTTCTAACTGTTAATGGGCTATGCCCAAACCAATTTGCAGCTCATCCTTGACTTTGCCCTACGTTTTGTCTGCCTGGCTCAGCAGCTTCATATACAGGGTTTCGAGAGAAGCAGCCATGCTAATTTGCTGAAGCAAAAATAACAATGCATCTTGTCACACCTTGCAGATGAACACACTTTCTCTGGACTAATATTTTCTTCTTGTCTATAAAGGAAACTGCCATTTAAAAAAAAAAAGAATTATAAACATCTTTCCTACATGAGAGAGGCCAGTAACCTAATCCCCACATGGCATTTTTCTAGTTTAAAACATCCATCCAGAAGTATTTGACATGTAAGACCTACTTTAAAATGCCATCACCCTAATCTGGTAGCTAGTTTTAACATCATGGATTATTATTATTATTATTATTATTATTATTATTATTATTATTTGCATTTGCATTTGCATTTGCATTTGCATTTGTATCCCATCTCTTCTCTACCCCCGAAGGGGGACTCAGGATGGCTTACATTAGTAATGGTGCAAGACCGCTACTTCACAATTACAATAATATACCATAATCAAATACAACAATAATTAAAACCAAAACATATAACATTCATTAAAACAATAAAACAAAGTCACAATGTCATCTGTCACAACACCATTCAATGTCCATTATGGTGCAAATTATGTCTGCTGCCTGAAGGACTGGTCCCAAAACCATGATTTTAATTGATTTCTTCTGAAGGCCAGGAGGGATGGAGTCGATCTTATTTCATTTGGGAGTGCATTCCATAGGCGAGGGGCCACAGTCGAGAAGGCCCTGTCTCTCATCCCCACCAAACGCATTTGAGATGTTGGCGGAAGCGAGAGCAAGGCCTCCCCAGATGCTCTTAGGTTGTGAGATGGGACATAGAGGCAGATGCGTTCGGACAAGTAAGCTTGAGCCAGAACCGTATGGAGCTTTATAGGTCAAAACCAGCACTTTGAATTGGGCTCGGAGGTGGACCGGCATAGCAGGGGGGTGGTATGCTCCCTGTATGTTGCCCCGGTTAGTATTTTCATGGATCCCATATTTAGTTTGAGTTTATTTTCTCTATGTTTCCAAGTTCCCAGTTTAAGATGGTATAAAGGGTAAGCTAACTTTATAAGGTCTTTTTAAAATCCAAGTAATCTGACTTTCTAGTGCTGTATATGTACAATGTGTCTTCTACTGCTCGATGTCTGTCTGCTTCTGTCTCTCTTTCCTCCTTCACATATTCCTTGACATAGTCTCCTCTATTCCTCATGAGTTTATGACAATATGCAAAGAAAGACTCACAAGTGACCACGTCTAGTATCTTCTTCAATTGTTAGAACACAGCTGGTAATTGATAACAGCCAGAACATTATACCCAAAAGTAGTGAATTATGGGCTACCTCCCAAAAGACTTAAGTGTTTGGGGCAGATTGTACAGGAGAAGATGATTCTGTTGGTAACCTGGACCCAAACCATGGAGGACTTTAAAGGTCAAACCAACACTTTGTACTTTGTTCGGAAACAAACTCACAGGTAATCTATGCCCTCATTGCAAGAGATGATACAGATCAAGAAAAGATTTATGCAGTCACTTATGGACCCAGCACCAAGACTGCTCTTGGAAGACAATCATACTTGGCCATGAGTGATCACCAATGATGATAACATCACACTGCCCATCACCAGAACTATTGAATCAATGGTATTTATGTAAGTGTTGACTTACCCAGTTATCACTGATTCAGTATGTTTAATGGAGCTGGATCTAACAATTGGATTTAGGTTGATATCAGAACCAGGGATCAGTGGGACTATTTCTAATACAGATTCAAACCTTGAAGTCATATTTCTAGAAGGACTGCCTTCCTACATACTGTTCCTGTCTCTTCTCTCTGGGCTGCTATGATAACGTTCTATATAAGCAGAGAAGGATTAATTATCTGTTGCCGTGCACCTTAAGTGTGTACAAAAATGTGCTACAATTTCCATTTTAGAGAAGAATTAATGAATTGTTCAGAAGCCCATACTCTCATTCTCCTTATTAATTATCAAGTGTTTTCTCATGCCATGGCATTTTTTTGTATGCTATTAGCATTGCCACTCTTAAAATATGCCATTTGACTTGAGAGTTTTGTCTGCTTCTTGATCCAAATAGCTGCTGTATACTCAAATTTGTATTACAAGGATTATATGGGCAGTAATTAGTCACTGCTCTTGTTACTATATTATTAAACCTCTTGAGGCACTTAACTTCAACAATAGGCTAATGACAGGCTGTTTACAACCATTTTTAACATGTGGCAAAACAATGAGAATCAACTGACACACAATGATGAATACACTCTAACGTTTTGTGCAACTCTAGATATTGTCTAGATATTATGCTTTTGTTTTCATGTGTATTTCACATGGCATTGAATTTGGCCATTATGTTGGAAACCACTTTGAGAGGTGAGAAAAGTGGTCTATAAATACAGTAAATAAATAATAAAGAAACTCTCCTCCATCTTTCATCTTTCAGCAAGAAAACGATTTCTTTCTTGTTGATCTCTGTAATCTTTCCCTCTGGCACTGAAGTGGACACCTAACCAGTTTGTAAAACGTAGTACAGGGCAGTAGAGGCACTGCAGTTGTCCATTTATCTCTTCATGGCACTATACAGAGTCGTGATTTGTTTGTTGGGACCCTACGTGACTGATTCTAACATTGGACGTGACTCTTTTGTAAACCTTTCCTGGAAAAGAATGGATGATAACCACGGGATGAGGCTGCTGATTTTCCAGTCTTGTTCCAAGAAAAGTGGAAGAAAGGGGGGAGGGAAGTCCCCAATTTTGTCACCTCACCTAACCCTGCGAATAAGGAGGCTACTAAGTTGCTGAGACTGCCAACAGGGGCGTGCTTACGTCCAAACGGATTTAGTGGAGCTTACTCCTGAGTAGGAATGTCTAGAACTGCACCGGCACTTCTTCCCTTAAGACCTGCTTCTCCTTGCTTCCTACTCCTCCTCCTCCACCACCACCACCACTATTTTGCCCAAGACTGTCACTATTTCATCCAGCAGGGCAGTCGTGTTGGTTGTGCCTACCTGCAATAGAGTGGGGCGGGGGGCTTCCCTCCGCCGCCTCCTCCCCGCGCGCAGGTTGGGATCAAAAGAGCCCCCTTCCCCTGCTACCCCCACCACCACCACCCCGCCTGAGGCTCCTCCTCCTCCTCCTTCTTTCCTGACTCCTCCGTTGAACTCGGGCACGTGTGCGTGTTCGTAGGTTCTCTCGCGCGCGCGAGTGTGCCTGTGCGTGTCAGAGCCGGCGGTGAGAATGCACGTGTGAGTGCGCGCACGCGGGAACATCTGGAGGGAGAAAGAACCGGGGTTAGCTTCTGGCTTTCTCTCTCTCTCTGTCCTCGGGTTTCTTTCTCATTCCCTTTACGCTCCTCTCCCGTTTCACCCCACACACACATACACCATCCCTGATTTGTGGTGCCTGGAGAAGGATGAGGAGGGAGCTGCTCCCACTCATGGAAAGCGGCTTTTCCCGAGGTTGGGGCGCTTGAGGTGGGAGGGCTGCGGGGCGGCTTCCGGGAGTCCGAGAGAGAGAGAGAAAGAGAGCGAGCCCCTGAATGGGAGTGCTGGCTCGCCCCCCGCTGGCTTCCTCATCTCCCTCTTCCTCGCCGTCGGCGGCTTTCCTGGCGGGGAGCGGCACCGCTGACTGATCAGCACCAGGGACAGCTACCTGTCCGTCCCTGGGATCAGCACCGGGGACAGCGCGCCTGGTTCAGCACCAGGGACAGCTCCTGGGGCTCCTCCTTGGCTTCCTCCTCTTGGCCTCTCCAGCCCGGGACGCAGAGCATGGAGGGCGCCGGCTGGAACCTGAGCGAGCCCAACCCCAACAGCACCCAGCGGTGGTGCGGCAGCGGCCCCAACGGCAGCCTGGGGGGGCCCGGGGCCATTCCCTGCGACCCCGGCAGCCCTTCCATGGTCACCGCCATCGTCATCATGGCCCTCTACTCCGTCGTCTGCGTGGTGGGACTCTTCGGCAACTTCTTGGTCATGTATGTCATCGTCAGGTAAGGCTGAGCCAGGGGTGCGGGTGAAAGAGAGAGAGAGAGAGAGAAGGAGGAGGAGGAAGAAGAGGAAGAGGAAGAGGAGGAGGACCCAGAGGAAGGAAGGAAAGAAGGGGCAGCTGGTGGGGAGGCGAAAGAAGGAAAGTCGGAAGTTTGAGGGGTATGCTCAGTTTCTGCTTATTTTGTTTATTTACTTTATTTTTTATCCTTTTTTCCTCATAATATAGAAACTCGAGGTAGTGACGATAAATAGGACACAATGCAAATTACAACAATGCGCATTAAAATATGAGTATAAACATAAATAAATAATAACAATGAGGAGTTTACTATCAGAGAGGTGGATCAGCCTCGTTTCCAGCCAAGTGGCCAAAAGGGAAATGGTTCCGTCTGTAATGGTATCAAGAAGCGTTTCTCTTGGGGAGCGAAAGAGAAGGCTCCTATAGCCCTTTCTTTCCCAAATGTCCCCAGCTTGTGTGTCCGGGTGAGTCCATTCTTTCCGGGGCTGCCCAAGATGCTGAACCTTTCAGGACGGCGCAGAGTTGCGCACCTTGGATAGTTCGTTTTAAACCGATCTTCTATTGCTCCAAAAACTGGCATTTCTTGAGTTAGAGCGATGGTGGGAAAGTACTCCCTGCGCCCCTCATGAGAGCAGCTGAGGAAGAGCAAACCCTGGCAGGGAGCAAATCCCGACCGCGTTCTTCTGGCCCTCACCAACTCACGCCCAGGTTTTCCTTTTTGCTTTCCCCGTCAAGAAAGAACAATTTTAGAGAAACTGGCAGTGGAAGGGGAGAAACATATTCGGAAGGCACGGTATTGTCAATACATCTTGGTTGGATGTCAAAGGATGAATGTGTGCTTCAACGCCTCTGTGCTGGCAACGCGAGGAGGTCTCTGCTCAGGAGAAAAAAATGCGACAGCTCACAGATGTGGGCATCTCAGCCAATTCATTTGTGGGTGGGGTGCTTGGGGACAACAAAAGGGCATTCTGAAAGGGGAGGGGTTCTTCTGCTTGGGTTCCCATTCCACTTTAATGGAGAATGTATGCGTTGGTTAGGAACCTTCTGTCATGCTCTGCTGAAAGATATGGAATGGAGTAAAGTTTGTTTGTAAATTCAATCAGATAAAACATATGGAGGGAGGAGTATGGAGTTAAAAAGGAAACCTTGAGCACTTTACATATTCAAGGAATAAGTTGCATTTTCTTAATTGTTTTTAATGTAATTGATAACCTGAACAATTAAAACAAACAGACCAGGATCTTCTAGAATTCTAAACTCTGATAAAGTGTCATAGAATCACCTCGTGGGCCATTCAGTCCAACCCCATGCCAAGAAGCAGGAAAATCGCCTTCAAAGCACCCCTGCCAGATGGCCATCCTGCTTCTGTTTAAAAGCCTCCAAAGAAGGAGCCTCCACCACACTCCAGGACAGAGAGTTCCACTGCTGAACAGCTCTCACAGTCAGGAAGTTCTTCCTAATGTTCAGGTGGAATCTCCTTTCCTGACGTTTGAAGCCATCATTCCATTGTGTCCTAGTCTCCAGGGCAGCAGAAAACAAGCTTGCTCCCACCTCCCTATGACTTCCCCTCACATATTTATACATGGCTATCATGTCTCCTCTCAGCTTTCTCTTCTTCAAGCGAAGCATGTCCAGCTCTTTAAGCCACTCCTCATAGGGCTTATTCTCCAGACCCTTGATCATTTTAGTTGCTCTCCTCTGGACACATTTCAGCTTGTCAACATCTCCCTTCAATTGTGGTGCCCAGAACTGAACACACTATTCCATGTTTAGTCTGACCAAGGCAGAATAGAGGGGTAGCATGACTTCCCAGAATCTAGACACTATACTCCACTTTATGCAGGCCAAAATCCCATTGTCTTTTAATCTGCCACATGACATTGTTAGCTCATGTTTAACTTGTCCACGAGAACCCCTATATCTTTTTCACATGTACTGCTATCGAGCCAGGCAACCCCCATTCTGTTTCTTTGCATTTCATTTTTTCGGCCTAAGTGGAGTATCTTGCATTTGTCCCTATTGAACTTCATTTTATTACTTTTGGCCCATCCTCTCTATTCTGTTAAGATCATTTTGAATTCTGCTCCTCTCTTCTAGAGTACTGGTTATTTAACACCTGGAAGCAAAGTACGCACAGAGATTGCCTATATATTTTACAGAGAAGTGTATGAATTACTCTAAGATATAACTGTATATTTAATATTAAAGCCCTGAGAATCCATTTAAAATGTTTACAAATAACTTAAAGATAATGCATTGTGTGCTCAAGATTTTAGTAGGGTAGACATATATCCAAGGTAATTGGATATATGTCTACCCAAAAGTGCATCAGACCAAGTTCAACAGCACGTAATTCCATGTAAGTGTGTTCTACTTTGGCAATAAATTCCTCACACATGTACAGCTGAACGTCTGCTATCATTTCCCAAATAAATCCACTAAGAATGGCAATTTGCCATATCTATTCATAGACTCATACAATCATAGAATCATAGAGTTGGAAGAGACCTCATGGGCCATCCAGTCCAACCCCCTTCCAAGAAACAGGAAAATCGCCTTCAAAGCACCCCCAACAGATGGCCATCCAGTCTCTGTTTAAAAGCCTCCAAAGAAGGAGCCTCCACCACACTCCAGTGTTTTCCAATGTTTATTTCTTGATGCTATTGAAATCTGCAGTAAAATGCCCTGTTTTCCTTTTAATTCAGATTTTTAAATGTTCCTCATTGAAACAGGTGGAATGTATCTGATGGACAAGTAATTTTTTTCTTAAGCTGGACAACAGTAAATGCTTTCCCCAAAATATATAGGATAGAAGCTGTTTGCAAAGGCATGTCAAATAATGGTCCATTTTTAATAAAAGAAGCACTGCTCAATTAGATTTGTTTAATGAATGTCAGCTAGAAAAAGCAATTTAATGTGTTCATAGCACCCAGACTAACATTTAGAAGAAATGAGATTGCATTCACTTTCTATAAGAACATAGCACCATCTATTGAAATGATTAATAACAACAGGTGGAAATTGCAACTGCTTGGAGCCACCTGAAAAGGTCTCACCTTAAGAAATAGTAGACAGGAGCATATTCATTGTCTTTGCAAAACCCTTCTTTCACTAGTATCACAGTCTGGAAAGACAGGAGCCTTTCTAAAATCCTATATTTTCAAGCTTAGTACAAGGGAGAACCTTGTAGGCTATCACCACACAAGGTGTTTAAGGTTACCATCAGCTGCATATCTTCTTTTTGGTGGATTATAAGCCAAACCCCCCACAAGTTCCTGTACTCCCGATGTGTTGGACTACAATGTGATGGGATGTCAAGATCCAACCTGGGCAATGCTAGCTAGAGGTAAGTGAAGTTGGCCAAGACGTAGTTAAAATGCCAGCTTTGGGAAGCCCGCTATAGAATATGAATTCTATCCGTTTCACCAACACTCATTTTCCATTTTCCTTTTCCAGTTGATATTTGCTATCAACTGAACATTGAGTTGTCTCTCCACATTTTTGGTCTCCTGAAAATCCTGGGGAGGTTATGATTACAAAATCTTTGGCACTCAGTACTTGAATTCAATGCTATAGAGTAATAAATACTATATCCATGCAGTGCTGTAAATATTTGGCCAAGTTCTCAGCCTGCTCCAAATATCTCTGGTTCCACAGAAGCATTCTGAAAATGCAAAGCATTAAGTAATCCCCCTATAAAAATATTTTCTGACATTCAGTGATGTGGCATATCCATACTTCTTTTTATTTATTTTTATTTTTAAATGACTAACAGCAACACAGCTGGCCAAGCAATACAAACATTAATGTTAAATACAGTTCTAGACAAAAATAATTACACAAAATGTTTTTGATAGCATAGCATAAAAATATGAGGCCTAAAATAATCTCTGTACATCTTGCTTATTGATTGGTGAAATGAAAGGGGCCCAAATTGCAGCAAACGTACAGTTCCTCTCTGCTCAATCTGTGTTGTATGTCAATTTTTCTGAAACAGCAACTTCCTATACAGTTTTACCAACAGTGAAGTTAGAGAATAGATCTTCCACAGTTCCCCACATTTTTTCTAACAATGCAACTCCTGGCAATAGAGATTTAAGATCTTTGTGCAAAGTATTTGCCTTAACTCCTTCAAAATAGTTAATAATAATAAAATGTATGTGTGTGTTTTTTTTCTTTTAAAATTTAAGTATTCCAGAAACCTGCCATCTTTGGACACAGTAACCACATATGATTTGTTGGATTATCTGTAATTTGTTGTTGTTCATTCGTTCAGTCGTCTCCGACTCTTCGTGACCTCATGGACCAGCCCACGCCAGAGCTCCCTGTCGGCCGTTACCACCCCCAGCTCCCTCAAGGTCAGTCCAGTCACTTCAAGGATGCCATCCATCCATCTTGCCCTTGGTCGCTCCTTTTTCCTTCCACTTTCCCCAGCATAATTGTCTTCTCTAGGCTTTCCTGTCTCCTCATGATGTGGCCAAAGTACTTCAACTTTGTCTCTAGTATCTTTCCCTCCAGTGAGCAGTCGGGCTTTATTTCCTGGAGGATGGACTGGTTGGATCTTCTCGCAGTCCAAGGCACTCTCAGCACTTTCCTCCAACACCACAGCTCACAAGCATCGATCTTCCTTCGCTCAGCCTTCCCTAAGGTCCAGCTCTCACATCCGTAGGTTACTACAGGGAATACCATGGCTTTGACTAGGCGGATCTTTGTTGCCAGTCTGATGTCTCTACTCTTTACTATTTTATCGAGACTGGACATTGCTCTCCTCCCAAGAAGTAATCGTCTTCTGATTTCCTGGCTACAGTCTGCATCTGCAGTAATCTTTGCACCTAGAAATACAAAGTCTGTCACGGCCTCCACGGTTTCTCCCTCTATTTTCCAGTTGTCAATCATTCCTGTTGCCATAATCTTGGTTTTTTTGACGTTTAGCTGCAACCCGGCTTTTGCGCTTTCTTCTTTCACCTTGATTAGAAGGCTCCT